CATATGATAGAGTACCACAAAGTCCTTTAATGATGATGAAGAAGAAAGTATCCATATGAAATATAGAGTATGTAGCACTGAGCACACTGGAAGTTCATCCACCTATTCTTGGCATAAATTAAACCCAGAAAACAGCAAAATGATAGAGTAATATAACCACCTCGCACTTGCCATAACTTGAACTTTGGCACCTCCACCATGTAAATCATAGAAAAGCAGCTTTGCAGAAGACGCGCGTTTATTCATTATCCTTCCTGCACAAAAACCACAATTATAGCACAAAAACCACAATTATAGACGCAAGTTTTTTATTTTAAAAAACTAAGCAAAATGCTGTAATATTTACCAGCCAAGGACACTTCATCAGCGGAATGAGCTCCGCTCTCTAAAACTCCATATTTCTTCACATAATCAGGGATAGACAACAATTCAACTTTGTGTTCGAATTTGTGTGGGTAAGGATTCTTCCCGGTTGCCTTCTCAGCCTCAAGTGCTTTCAGCCTATTTTCAAAGTATTGCTGCAAACCAAACCCACAATTAAATTCAGAATTATGGGATGTGCTTTCTTAGAATATATCCAAAAAGAAAAAACTTAGACAAATATCCCACCTCTTACTCTTTAGCAATCTAACACTTAAAACACTATTGTCAACTTTTAACATTGGAAAAATATCACAAAAAATTCCCTGTATCCTTATCATTCTTATAAACAAACAAATATTACCTATTTTTATACCCAAAAAAAACTAAAACATTTTTTTCAGAAAAAAGTTACTGCATAACCAAAAACCAAAAAGTTAATAGAAAAGGGGAAATGGAGTCACCGTTGGATCCATGTCCTCATCACCGGCTGCAGCATGCTTTTGAGACTGAGTGCTTGGCTTGTTTTCAGATTTCCCCTTCTTGTCCTTGTTTTCAGATTTCCCCTTCTTTTCTGGGTTCTCCATTTGACTCCGACTAGAAGAATTAAACTCTGTTGCGCTGAAACCTGAAACAGAGTAGGGATATGGCTTTATGGAGGCTAGGGTTTAAGCGTTACGCCTTTTTTTCCTTTTAATAAATTAAGATTTAAATTCTATTTATTTATTTTTTTTAACTACTATATATATACATATACTATAATAAGTGAAGGTTGAATGGTACGACGAAGGGCGTTCTCGTTATTAAATCGAAAGTGAGGGCTGATACTAATAACTTACAGGTGTCCATTGTAAATACCACCACATGGGTTCACCCTTTTGTCTTCTCTTTCATATGATAAAAGCCGTCATTTTTAGAGGGTGATTGGGTGAGCTTATAAGCTAGTTACACTGACTTATAAGTGTTTTTGGCTTATTTACGTTTGGTAAAATTAGAAGTGCTTACAAGCCAAAAGCTTTGGTATCCCAACTTATCAAACTTTTGGTTATAAACATTTTAGGTTTGACCAAAATATTTATTATTCTATACCTAAAATACTTTAATTTAAAACAAAACTTTCGTATACTAAATCAGCTAAGGTAAGTCAAACAGGCTCTTACAGTTCTCTTCATTCCCATCTCTCTCTTCCTGGTAAGTGGTTCTTCTTCACTTTTCGGTTTTGCTCTTATTTTAATTTTCTGGTTTCGTTTTATAATTTTTTCTTAATCTTTTGAAGATGGTCACTCTATTCTGAAACACAGGAATTTGATTTTCACCTCCCTTTCCGTTTGTTCTTCTTCCTCTACACAATTAAAATTTATGATTATGTCTGGTTTGAACACAAGTCACAGGAATAGAGCCACGTGTTTGTAAAATTTTAGTAAATGTTTACTCTAAGACATTAACTTTGAGATGGACTTTCTACTAAAAAAATGAGAAATGCACACATACGAAGAAAATAGTTTTCTGTTTGTTCTTTTAGCTATGCAGGCCTTCACACATTCTCTTCTTATTCGTTGGAATAGCTAGCATATTTTTTACCAGAGATTTGGGATTCGGCTGAAGTTCTTTGCCGGTCCACCTTTGCTAAGAGAGAGAACAATAACATGAACACATGCATAGTCATATTGTCACCTCTAGAAACCCAAATGTTTGACACTATTAGTACTTGTATTCTTTTCATCTTTTTTCCTTTTTCTATTTTTACACCCCAAATATGGGAGATTATTAATATGGAGATGTAGAGATAGCAAGGAGTTTTGAGGTTTATAGTTGGCGTGACACAAAATAAGGTAATCCTAGCTTGATTCTTTGGTTGCCAGTTGGGTAAGGCGCAATTTGATTTTATACAGAAGGACTTCTAAATTCAGGTTGTTCTATCCTCAAAGATTCATTCTGCAATGTGCGGTTGTAACTGTTTGGATTTAATGTCTTCAATTTTATTAGTTGGAATATGATAGCCTTGCAATTTTGATGGACAGATTTTTTAAGAAAGCACATGTACTCAAGAGGGAAAAGATGAGCACCTCTTTAACGGTAAGAGGTAATTTTCGCATTTTGTTTCGCATTATTGAACTATGAATGGTTTTTCATAGTGCGTTTGTCCAAATAATATTCATCACATGTTGTTCTGATAGTTTTATACTTCTGCAAAGTATTATCGTTTTGTTCATGTTGTTCTATCTTTTCACAGTTCATGGGATCCCATTTTTGAGGTGAAAAAGTTCCAAAATGGGAATAAAGATGGTGCTCCGAAGATATTGGCGCTAGGATTTGTGATGTATTCCTCCTCAATTACACATACATTGCCACCTTTTACAACAAAACTTCAGAGGCTCATTTGTAACTTGAAGGTAGTCTTTTTCGGAAACTTGACAAAATTTCTGTTCAAGATTATGTTTTAATCACGCATCAAAGTGAAACTTTCAGTCTTTTGCATAGATTGTTCTAACATGGAGAGGTTACTACTCAAGCTGATATTGAAATCTAATCAGTGGAATGAGGTATTTTATGCAAAGACTACTCTTTTTGCCCCTGATTTTTGGTAGTCGTGATCGTGACCTATTTGACAATGTTGAACATAAGTTTGCAAGGTCGTTATTGTTGACATATAACTTCTCTCAGGTCTTTCTTCTTTGCTTCTTTGTCTGTGCATGTGTTTGTTATTGTGCTTTGTGTGAATTGGTTTGTAATTTGTTTCTTAACTCAACATGCAAGGAAAACCAAAAGTGAAAACTGGTTGGAGTAAAAAATATAGATTTATACTGTGTGAAATTGGTGGCACAATTATTCAAGGTGGGAGCTGGCAGTGGAAAGGCTGGACTAAAGGGGTGTTACAGGACAACACACTAGAGTAATTTTTGTAAATGTTTTCTTTCAAGGTTATAGAGACAGGGGTTAGCAGAAAACACAATAGTACATTAATTTTCTGTTGTTAATTGTTTTTTGATATGGTTCCTTCATTAGCAATTTTTTATCGAAATTTTTTATTATAAAAGAATTATGAAAGTTTTAGGGAAAAACACTCTATTTCCCTATTTGCTTCTTCTCTATAGATACTGAAAAGGGAAAAGAAGTATGAAGATTCAAATAACAATGGCTAGGTGAATGCTTGTAGTTTTTATCTCTTTTGGAAGTTACACATCTGTTAAATATCTATTAGAACATATTGAGAAAGTAAAAAAGTTAAAACCAAAATTCAATTGGAGTTTCAAATGTAAAAATGAGAGAAAATAAAACTTAATTGGAAATGATATCTTCCATGTTTCTGTGGGTGTAGTTTATGATGCTATCCTCATATGATTGTAAATGTATGTTTTCTTAGAAACGATTATATTGTAACAGAGCATTAAATTTGGGCATTAAAGTTCAGTGTCATATAAGTCGAAAGTGATTGAACTGTCTTTTCAAGAGGGACTTATTTTCATCAAATAAAATATTGCATTAGTGAATGTATTATGTGCGTGATTGTTATATTCTTCCCCAATTTTCTGAGATTTTAGCATCTTATTTGTTTGTAAATTGCTCTTTAGGATACTTTTGTCCTCTTATTGATTTGTCTTTGGAAGGAGACAGTAATAGTGTAATATGAATAATAGAAAGAAATTATCAATGTCTTTGACTATATGTGCATTTCAAACAAGTCAATATTAGTCTTATTGGTCAAAATATTGCTTCGTGGGTATCTCTTTTAATGTATGCCTACCTAATCTGGAACATGACCAAGGGATTCTTCTGAAATCCTACTAAAGTTATGCTACTTTATAGGGCACTGGTTATTGTCTAGCAATGTAAACTTTTAATGCACACTTGTTCTGTAGGAGCCTCTTATCATTTGGATTGTGTGTCATCTGCTATTAACATGTGGCCTTCCAATATTTTGTTCGGACTTTTCACTTTGGCTAAGCAAATTTTGTGAAAATTTGCTGATTTTAGTGTATTTTCTTTGTCGCTTAAGGAAAAATAACAACCGCTACAGGTACACTTATGTCAAAAAACTATATGAACCATATAACAAATTAATATGGAGTCAGCTCTCTCTCTTTCTCCGGTGTGTATAAAGAGATCAGTCACTCGCCATTTTACATTGCAAGCAATGTTTGAGTAGTTATAAGGCATGAAATATTTTGTAATCTTTCTATACTCTTAAGGAGCTACTCTTTTCTACTCTGTTCCACTGAATCTTTCTGCATCCCTCTGTCTGGTGAATTTTTAAGTCATTTATTTCTTTTGGTACTCTTAACTTAGAAATAATTCTTTCCGCTGCAATTTATTCTCATGAATACACAAATTTTTGATGTGATATTGTCTTAGCTCTGATCGTGAATTCATAAGTTCGATAGTGTACAGTAAGGACCAGACATAGAGGGTCTCGCTGAACCTTTGGGTACTCCTGGAAGAAAAAATTAGATGTAAGGAAAGTAGAGTCGCATATTTAGAGGTGAGTGCCGAAATATGGAGAAAAAAGTACAACATACATTAGTAACATCCATGTATGGTGATGAACCAAACAAACATGAAACACTAACTAGAAAATTTCAGGAGGGTAAACTACACAAAAGGCTTTAAATAGTATGCTCTTTCTCCAAATTCTTTCTGGTCACCTGTCCTGGTCAATTGCTGAATATTTCTTCAAAAAAATTGTGGCTCAACTTTCTTTTGGTATTCTTAGATTTTAAATTCTAAATACATGGCATTACTGAATATTTATGATTCATTTAGTTAGAATATAATGATTGCAGTTTTGATTTCACATTTTTTTAAAGTGGAAGTTGATCAAGGTGGGGGAAAAGGCACAACTGCTTCGGCTCTAAGACGTAATTTTTGCACTTGCTACTCGAGTAGTGGTAGAAGTAAGTCAGAAACGATCAAGCAGGTTCATTAGAACTAATAGCAAAAGATTGAAGGTAGAAATATAATTCTTTCTAAAAGGACCTGCAGTATGAAATAGAGGACAAGTTATTTACTTTCAGCTTATTTTAGACAAAGAAAGATGATTTTTATGTTATACTTATACTAACTTGTGAATTTTTAAGTTAATTTATGGAGCAACAAACGTAAAGAGATATTCAAAGAAAAGAATCAGGCATGAACAACTGGTGGCAAACCCCTCAGTATAACTTCTCAATTTTATGTAACATAAAAATTTAAAAACTACTAAAATAATTAAAAGGGACTAAAAGATTTACCCGAGGTTTCTAATTCCTGGTTCATCGTGCTACCAATTGGGCTGCAAAGCTCAAGCATAATTTTACATGAGGAAAGGGGAAAGAAAAATACATTGGGATTGATAGTGTTTTGGCATAACATGGAAACAAGATGTTGGTCCTAATATGCAGATAGAATCATAATTCATCACAATAATTGAACTCTCCCTTTTATATTGTTCGCCTAAACCGTTGAGTTTTCCACGCGATCACTCTTTAACTTCCCCAACAAGGTCATTAATTTGCAAAGGAAAAATGATTTAGGCCACAATCTTAGAACATATGGTTAAGCTTTCTTCAACCAAGTAGTAGTAGAATTTTTGATAGATAACAGAGACGATTCATACCTGTTTATGCATTATTTAGGTAAATTTTATGAGCATCAATCATTGGTTCTGCTAATTATTTCAACAGGTCTTTTTTATTCATTCTTGAGAGTGAACATGCTATGATATGTTTTAATGTATGTTGATTGATTAGTCCTTGATTGTCTTTCTTACATGTTGCCCTTTAACTACTTTCTACTGACTATCCTGAGTATTTCGGTTGATTTCCACATGAGTTCTCTAAAGAATCATTAAAAATGATAGTCGATTCAAACCTACGATGTCAGGCCCGCACTGTTATTTTGTTAATCCTTTCTTCTCTGATTAGAAATCAATATGTGCATATGTGTGTAATGTAGACTCTTACACCTTTTCTGCAGCTCTTTAAGGATATTACAATGACATTGAGCTTCCATTACTAACATCATATCCTTCTGAATGTTTAAGTTTTTCTTATTAAGCTATATTGAATGGATAATTATTATTCCTGTAATTGGTAGACACATATTTGATTATTTTCTCCAGCTATTAGTGTTTCCAAGAGTTTATCTCAGCTATCCATGGAGTCGTCTAACTCAAAGACCCAAAGATGATGTTCCTTCTGCTTCTGGTCCTGAAACACCCAAAGCTGCTAAGATATCTTCAACTGATTTTTTTTTGTTTGTATTTTGTCTTTCAAGATCTATGGTGCTTTCCTTTCTTTTTGAAGTTTCTTCCTAAAAGTTCTGATCACTGCCAGTATGGTGACAGCGAAAGAGAAATAGGAATGGTCCAACATCAAGTTCAGAGCAAGATGCACCAGAAACACCAGAACGAAGGGTGGATTTCTGGTTTATCAGCTCTGAAAATTTATTTATTTATCTTCCTTCTATTTATTTATATATTATCGTATACTAATTTAATTTTCTTTATAGACATTAAGGAGATTTGCTCATAATAGAGAGGGAGCACAGGAAATTAGACTCAAAAAGGTAATTATCATTATTTTCTTATAGGTCTGAATTTATCTTCTTCTTTTCTTTATTTTGTGTAGTCGATGTTCTTTGTGTATGTTGTATCTACTGAAAGATCTGGAAAATTCTACCATGACGCATTCTGTTTTCTTTGTCAAGTTCTTCTAATGTTATCATTTGTCAAAACTGTTCTACATGATTGCATTCACTTGCGCTATTTTGATCCTTACATTCAATCTGTCTGGCAACTTGAGACTAGTGGAGATAGAGATACTTCCTGAAAATTTATCCTTTTAACTTTGGGAAAGCAAGATCGTTGATAAATGAATAAAAACCCTTTGCGACTTACACAGGGGGTTATCTTGTATAGCCACACGTGATTAATGCATTACAATATAAATATGGCTTTATTGTACATTATATCAGTTCGATATCCACTAGGTCTACACGTGTGTATGTACATCACTTTAGAGAAATCCTGAGGCTAGCGAGGTATATCTAAATTATGATACATGACCCATCTCTTCTTGGAGTTTGAACTAGATATATGTAAATTTTGATATATAATTCATTTCTTCTGGGTCTGAAGTTTGAACTCAAGTCTCTGTATGACATTATTGCAGGATAATAATTCTTCTAATTTCATTTGGAGACACCTTCTGTAGAAGTGCTTTACAGAGATTGAAGATCAACAAAGAGGAGCAACTCGAAACTTTCTTTTGAAATAGTTCATATTTTATGGACATTCAAGTACTTGATAAAACTGCCTCCATCTTTTGAGATTCTGCTAAAAGCTTGAATTTTTATATTTCTCTTTCTTTTCTTTATGCAATTGGATAAAGATGCAATTTTCTATGAGAAATATCTTCTTGGTATTGATTTTTTTTGTTGTTGGTAATCTTGTAGTTGTACAATAACATAAACTATGTTTGCACGGGCTCAGGCCATCTAGTATAAAAATAAGAACAAGAATACAAGTATTATTCACAGCAGAAGACAACAACTTAATTAACAACCATCTTGTACATCAAACAAGGGTCACTTCTTTGAAGCAGGCTCTCTTGCCTTTTGCTCGAAAAGGCTTCCATCATAGACAGCTCTTACGGTTTCTTTCGTCAGTATGCCATCCTTATTTTTCCCTAAATCATATAAAGAATTCCAATCTACAGAAGCATTTGCCCTACACACAAAGTTGAGTTTTAAAAAAAACATAAGGAAAACAACCTCATCAATAAATGAAATAGGGATAATTGTACTTTTGGTCCATCAATTAACGTTAGTGTTTTTGATATCTCACTATTAATCAAAATATATATTCTTAGTCTCTTTATACATAGGAAGTGTGTTATATTTAGATTATTTATTTAGAGTACATTACCCTCGAATATGAAATAACAATACAAATTTAACGTAACACACGAGTCACCTAACAATACATTAAATTTGTGAAGATTCACAAGCAACATGATTAAAGGTGCATATTTCAATTAATTTGAAAATGAAATGTGCTTAACTACATATCACAATGGCCGAAATCAGAATTTGTCAATACTTTGGAGTCTAAAAATAAAAATTTCCCCAGGAAACAATAGACGGCAATGTAGAGAAACACTCTATACTAACAAATAACAATAACAACAAACAGGGAGAGGGAGGATACCATCCGAAGTAGTCCTTTGGATCTCCTTTAGCCTTGAGAAGTTCTTTCACTTCGTTGTGTGTTGAGGATTCTGCATTTTGATTTGCATGCTGCTTAAATATCTCCTCAAACTTCTCTGGCACAAACCTTCAATAGTTCCATAAAAGTAAGTCAAATCTTGACATACATAATTCATACAAGTGTATTACTGTGCAGAGGTGGATTTAGAATTTCTAAAACATGGGTGTACCACTAAAGAAACGAGAATTGATCTATATTCCTTGGATAAATAATTCAATCAAGTGCATCATTCAGCTTTTATGGAGCATGGTGCCAACAGATAATATTACTAATTCAAGAAAATACATACATAAAATACCTAGTTTGGCGGAAAAATCATGGTTCACATGCCCCATAAACTACCCTATAAATTTGCCCCTACTGTGCATATTCAGTGGCGGATGGATGCTCATACTATGAGTTCAACCGAGCCCAATATTTTCTTTACAAGAAGCATAGATATATAATGAGAAATTACTTAAATCTCTATAAATAGTAAATTTTGAACCAATAATTTCAAAATTATAATAAATTCGGTGTCTATTTCAGACAACCAGTTCGGGTTCATGCCGGGGCGATCTACCACAGAAGTTATCCACCTTATTAGGAGGATGGTGGAACAATACAGGGATAGGAAGAAGGATCACCACATGGTGTTTATTGATCTTGAGAAGGCATACGACAGGGTTCCTAGGGAGGTCTTATGGAGCTGCTTAGAGACTAAAGGGGTTCTGGTTGCCTACATTAGGGTGGTTAAAGACATGTATGATGGAGCTAAGACTCGTGTTAGGACAGTAGGAGGCGACTCCGAGCATTTTTCGGTTGTTACGAGGTTACACAAAGGGCCTGCGTTCAGCCCATTCCTATTTGCCATGTGATTGATGCACTAACTCATCATATTCAAGGGGAGGTGACATAGTACATGCTATTTGCTAATGACATAGTTCTAATTGACGAGACACGAGGCGGCGGCAACGAGAGGCTAGAGGTTTGGAGACATGCCCCTGAGTCTAAAGGTTTCAAGTTGAGCAGGACGAAAACGGAATACCTAGAATGCAAATTTGGGATTGAGCCGACGGAAGCAGGAGTGGACGTGATGCTTGACTCTCAAGTCATTCCCAAGAGGGGTAGTTTCAAGTATCTTGGATCAGTTATTCAGGGGATCGGGGAAATCGACGAGGATGTCACACACCGTATAGGGGTGGGGTGGATGAAGTGGAGGTTAGCGTCGAGAATTCTGTGTGACAAGAAAGTGTCATCGTTACTAAAAGGTAAGTTTTATAGAGCAATGGTTAGGCCTTCCATGTTGTATGGGACTGAGTGTTGTCCGGTTAAGAACTCACACATCCAGAAGATGAAAGTAGCAGAGATGAGGATGTTGAGGTGGATGTGCAGGCATACAAAGATGGATAAGATTAGAAATGAAGATATCCGACAGAAGGTGGGTATGGCCCCCATAGAGGACAAGATGCGGGAAGCAAGACTCAGATGGTTCGGGCATATTCAGAGGCGGAGCACTGATGCACCGGTGAGGAGATGTGAGCGACTGGCTGTGGTGGGCACGAGGAGAGGTAGAGGGCGACCTAAGAAGTATTGGGGAGAGGTGATCAGGCAGGACATAACGCGACTTAGGATTTCTAAGGACATGGCCCTTGACAGGGAATTGTGGAGGTCGAGCATTAAGGTTGTAGGTTAAGGGGAAGGTGTGAATATTTCTACAACGCACTAGAGTGAGACTAGCCAGTAGGAAGTTAGTCTTATGATGCTACTAGTCATCTACTGATGCATGGTTTTATCTGCTGGTTATTTTATACCTTCCACTTATTCCACCTATTTCGTATTTCTTATATTCATGTTATTTTATTATGATTCTACTGATGATACTAATATATCGTCTCTTATTGCTTTCTTGAGCCGAGGGTCTCCTGTAAACAGCCTCTCTGTCCCTCGGGATAGGGGTAAGGTCTGCGTACATATTACCCTCCACAGACCCCACTTATGGGATTATACTGGGTCGTTGTTGTTGTTGTTAATGTTTAAAATTTTAAAGGTTGAAAACATCAAATTTAAATCCGAGATCCGCATGTGTATTGTGACTTCGTCTATAGCAACCAGAATTTAGTTAAGGTATTCAAGGAATTTACCTCCCTTCAGAGTCATAGGCACCAGAATCACTGCCATGTATGGTATATTTGATATTTTTTACCACAATGGGGAAGAACAGAGACGGGCATTTTCCCTATGTGACACCAAAAGCATGTATTACAAATCAATTTATGAGAATATATTTTCTTTTTAACCCGTTCCAAAAAGAATGATTTATTTTAAAAAGATTGTTAAAATAGTACGGTATAGCCAGTTTTCGGACTGGTCATTCAAAATAGTCACCGTTTACGAAGTCAATGAAAAATAGTCACTATTTTGCTGCAACAGAGACCGATCCCGCATAATATACGGGAGTTTGGTGCATCTGTGTACGAACTCCAGCATATTATGCTGGACCGATATACTTTGCTGACTCCTGTATAATATACGGGAGACTGGAGCACCGGTGCTCCAAACTCCAGTATATTATACTGGACATTTATACTTGCTGGAACTCCAGTATATTATGCTGGAGTTCTAGTGTACTTATGTTGGAAGTCCAACATATTATGCTGGAGTTCCAGCATAGTTATCCTGGAACTCCCGTATAACATGCTGGAGTTCAAGCATACTTATGTTGGAACTCCAGTATAATATACTGGCGTATTTTCCGGGTTTTGAACAGTGTTTTCGCTCAGATTTATCTTTACATGAAAAGTGGCTAAATTTCGATTACTTTTAAAACTGGTTATTTTTGAATGATCAGTTGTAAATCTGACTATTTTTAAATTTCTCCCAAAAGGATTTGACTCTTTTCTAGATTTAAATATAGTTTAACTTCAACTTTCAATTCTATTATCAATGAAAAGTTTTTATAGACACATAGATACTTTGATATATTTCACACCACAAGTTTCAAAAGAATTATAACCACACAAATATTATGTTTATCTAGAATCATAAATTTTAAAAGTTTTTATTTTTTTCTTAAATTTCGTGCTCAATCAAATAGATTCATATAAATGGGAGAAGAGGGAGTATGAAATTTCTCAAAATTATATTGTATGTCTTATTAAACCATATATAGAGAAAAAGATGTAGCAAATTAAAACCACTAATATGGAAATAATGTTGTGCATTTTCAAAATAAAAAATAAAAAAAATAGAGCATTTTGAATTACCGGTCGGGTCTTGTGACTTAGAGTAATATGAATGAGGACTGCAGCAAACATTGACCGGAAAATACCACGCCCCATTTTTCTAAAAGCTGATAATAAGTCCGAAAATATTTAGAACAAACTCATGAAAGACAAAAGCATATTAAAAAAAACATTTAGGAAAGAAGAAAAACCTTGGAAGGTTTGTGAAGGATAAGCTATTCCATCATTATTGATATCAAAGAACATGACATGCTTTTCCAAAGGAGTTACCTCATGATTATTTTCCATTATTCCTGCGCGGATATGCACATATATGAAATAGGACAAAAGACTAGAAACTAAAATCATAAAAGAGAGAGAAATTAAAATCGAAGAATGTGAAATAAATAGAAGATGAAGGGAGAACATAGATTGAAATTAACAATAACAACAACAAAAAACTCAGTATAATCTCACAAAGTAGAGTTTGGGGTAGAGTGTACGCAAACCTTGATCCTAATTTGTGAAGATAAAGAGATTATTTTCGATAAATTCAAATTCCGATATAATTGTATCTTATATCTTCGTTTAGAAGTCATTAACTAGCGTATCAAATTCTTGTAATACCTATTACTTCGGTGTCCACTAAACCCTATAAACAATTGCGTTCATATTTCTCGTAGTTGTCAATTGCAGAAATTTATACATGGAAGTACGTACTATGCCAAATGCCAAATGCCAATTTCAAGAAAGATGAATATGCAACTGTACAGGTTGAGTAGTACTATTGTGCCTTTTATCCTCGACACAAAAAATTAAACAGATTACTCAATTTTGTAGAATACAATGAAAGGATACTTCTTTTCATCATTTTGAGATACATCGGAATAAGAACATTTTGATCTAAAAAAACAAACATACTAATTGAGGACAGTATTTGATTATCATAAGAGGGTGTACAATATACTACAAGCTTTTGTTGGGGCACATGAATTGGACTCGTAACATGAATTTAGAACTATGAAATTTATTTCAAACAGTTGAACAAGCTAAGAACTCAAAAATTGTTATTCAGTTTATCATATTGTAACTTTGATACAACAGGACATTTGTGTGTGCAGAGGCGGATGTAGTGTACTGTGTACGGGTTCAACTGAACCTATAACTTTTAACGCGGAATAAAAATTTATATATAAAAATTTATTAAAATTATAAGAATAATAAATATGAACACATAACTTTAAAAATATAATAGATTTGAAATCACACAATCTAAATTCTGGATCCGCGTGTGTTTGCGATATATGCCTCATACTTGAAGAACTAGTTTAACTACGAAGGGTATTTTATTATCTATGGGCATTTTGTTATGTGTGAGACAGCTGGCTTCACCACATCTTTCTTCGAGATAGTTCCACTCTGATTTTCTTCGTTCCATTCTTACCCATTCCTTCTCCCATGTCTGATGTCTCCTCCAAGCTCTCTCCTCTAGGCAGGCTAAAAGCACAAATTTTTCTGAAGTTTGGTTCTCTACTATTGTCGATGATGAATCGATTGTGGCTGTGCATTAACTGAAGCTCGGTATGCCATCTCCATCCTTTTTCTCTTCTTATCTCTCTCAAATTTTCCGCACACTTTTCTTATTTCAGTGTTAAGTTTTTCTTAGTTGTCCTTTGTGTAATATTTTCTTTGCTCATGTGGTTTCATTTCTGATTTTGCTTCAATATTTCACGATTTTGTTTCCAGTTTGTTTACTCTCCAAAAAGGTAAAATCTCTCTTCTTTCTCCATCCGGGTCTCTTTGTAAAATTGTATTTGATTCGTATTTGACTTTTCTCCTGCTGGGAATTGATAACATAGTTATATTTTATTTAAATTATGCATTTGAAAAAAATTGAGTTTTGCGTCCTAGGTGTTCTCAAAATCAGACAAACCAGAGAAGACAATAGGATAATTGCAAGGTTTTGAAATGGAGAATCCAACTTTGATTTCCTCCTACCGTAATATCGGAAGCTATTAAAATCCTTTTTCGTTTTGGGGATTTGGCTATAAAATAATTTTGTATTGTTCGTTATTGCATGTTTAAATTAGCTCTCGATTGTTATTTTTTTCTTTTTCATCTTCGATAAAATCTATTACTCAGTCTTATTTTATTAATTCGTCTGATTGAATGAATGCCAACTTTTGTCCTTCGAAGTTTTTTGTTTTGCATGTTTTGGGTTATAGTGTGTGAGCTCTCAATTGGGTTTGTTGTGAAACGCTTTTTCTTTTTCAACTATGTTATTTTTTGTTTATTACTTTTTCTTGATTTGCTAAAGGGTGGGCATGCTCGACTGAAAGGAGAGGAAAGCTTCTTCACTTTCGGCATGTAGCAATAGACAAGTGAGAATTTCAATCAGAAGAGCAAAGTATTGTGTCGAATGTAGTCAACAAATGGGGTTGGCACTTAAGGTACTTTTTGATCTAATCTTAGTCTTATTGATACTAAATTTTAGCAGAATCTTCTCTTCTTACCAAAATAGTGCTTTAATCATGAACTGCTATTGTTTGATGTTGATCTTCAACCAGCCTTTGGCTCAACAACTGGGAAGATACGGGTGAACAAGGAGAAAAATATTATCCTTTACTGCAGAGGAGATTTATGATATAACTTTAATCTAGGTACAAATTCTTGCTGTAAATAAAATTCAAACTAACAACATCTAATGGTTATGCTATCATTAAAGTTAACAAATTTCTACATGTTTACCACAAGATTGAACTTGCAAAAAAGTTTCTTTTCCAAAGGAGTCCCGGCCAATACTAAATATTCAAAGTTGGCTTACTCATGAACTGCTCAAAACCTAAGCTAAATAATTATTTGCGCGAACATCTGGAATAATGTATATTCTGTCATGTGTTGAATTGAAACATTCTTCATTCTCTCACAGCACCAACCTCAACTGACATTGGCGAAGGCAGCAAAAGAAAGAACCCTTTAGTTGTGACGATGAAGAAAATCTTTTGTTGCTCGAATGAAAAAGTAGAATTACCGACTGGACAAGGTAAATCATTGAAGATGAAAACAGAACTGGATCCAACGATGGAATGAACTAGTTACCAATAAATTGCCGTTTGTTACTCTTTCTATAAATAAATATATTTTACAGCTTTTTCTCAATCGCTCTGTTATGTGATATTACGTATAAGATGCAACTCTTCACATTAGTATCATAGAAACTTCTAGGTTTAAGTGGCTTTGACGTATTGTCTTGTTTGTAAAAATATTTGCAGGTAAAGCAAATCTCTGTTGCAGCTCACTTTTGGCTTTTTGGCTTGTACATACTGCTGAGCTATAACTTAAGGTAAATATTTTGCTTATTTGCTAATCTCTGTTTTCAAACTTAGTGCATAATCTCTATCGCCGTCCTTTATTTGTTGGGGAGATTCTGAAATACTAAAAAAGTGCAACTCTTTCATATAGATAAAATTTTAAGACTGCCCTTGAAACATACTTGTTTAGCAATGGTGTAAAAAGAATGCGATAAAATTGCATGATTTCTATTCCGATATAGGTTATCGGATAATCTTGAGTTATCCTTCTGGTTAGGGGGGAACTGCTGGTGCTACTAATTTTCTTTTTTTAATAAGGTAATGTATTATTAGCAAGAATGTACCAAGAAGGTACACAAGAGTACAAACAGAGCAGACATCACCTACGAATAATCCCCTATTACGTATTTCGTAGCAGATTCAAAAATTCTAAGTACTGATCCTTACTATCTGATAAACACGTATTACAGTAGAAACATAGATCACGCAGTCATAAGTTCTTAGTTCTAGAAATGTGACACCGTTTATTCTCAAAACGAGCACTATTTCTTTCACTCTAAATGATCCGGATGCACAAAGGGGTGGTCCTCCCAAGCTGTTTTTGGAACGTTGCCATCGTTTGTTTCTGCCAGCTATCCATTAGGTTCCTGATATATGAAGGCATAGTTATAGTGACACCACAAAGATTCAGAAAGAGCGCCCAACATTGCTTAGCAACTTTGCAGTGAACAAAAAGATGGTTAACTGATTCCAAAGATAGGAGGGGCCGTTGATTGAACGGGAAATGACCTATTCTGCTTGAAGGATCTATTTTCTCCTAAGTTCCTTTCAATTTAGATGCCTAAAATTTATACCGTGGTCTCATTTGAAGAGGAAGATTTATTGTACTAGAATAGAAGGACATCAGTTTCTTCCCAAAATTTTACATATTCCTAATTGCTCAAGATTATGATTTATCCTATCTTGAAGAGGACATCATAGGAAGAAATGGTACCTTCTTTTCAATGCAAAATCTGATTGTACGTGCGTACATCTTGTTATAGCCTTTACTGTGGTCATTTCTGGTACTGCTATAGTTTATGGGATACCAATTGTATTGGGATTCATTAGCCCATCATCATCATCATGTTTTGCTGATACTGTTAGCGTTCTCATAGGACATTTAAACAGAAGAAACTCACTTTTGTGTGGAGAATGCAGCTGAGAAAGACTCAACTTTAGTCATTTATATGGACATGTCAACTCTTACCTTTCGTGCCTCAGAGTTGATCCATCATGAGTTGCCGCATAATACGTCAGCTATTGTCATCCAGTGAATAGACCAAACATCAAGCCAAACGTCAAAAATACACAGTAAGTAAAGTAGAACAACTTCTCATTCTTACATTTGTTTGTTAGATGTCTATACTGCTGCCTTTCTGTGCTACATTTAGGACAACAATCATTTATTTTAACAATTGCAAAGATGAGATTCATATATGCAATTCTTTCGGTAAATTTATGTGCTGGCATTTACAGATTTATTATTGCATTAATTTGTGGAATAAACTTTTAGATATCTGATAGTTTCTTTTCTGAAAATTATAAATTATTTTATTACTCGGCACCGAGTCACACTTGTATCCCTTCATTTGGTAACTTTATTTAAGTATCGTTGGTGCTCCTAAATTGGATTTCTCTGTTCAAGGAATTAATTGTTATTTTGTTTCATTTATTCCTGATGTGCTTATCAAGGTTATGTATTGTTGGAAGCTTATATGTTCCTTCTTATTTTGTATTCTCATGAGTAGTATTGAAACACGATATGTAGAAACATATGGCTCCTGTAGTAAATCAGTACTCGAGAAGTAAACATAAAGAGGATCATGCAAAAAAGAATCTTGCTTTGGCCATACTATTTAGATGGATAAATTGCCTCGATTGCATCTTCTTATTTCATAATAAATCAGAATCTATTGTAATTGTAGGATATCTACCCTCTCTGAAGAGGTAAAAAATAAGTAGTGTTCCTCTTCGTTTGTTTATTGTATTACTAATAAAAATATAAAAGGAAAATGAAAAATTCAATTTATTAATGTGCTATGGATATAGCTGATATCTCATATTTCAAATTTTAACAGGTAAATGAGCAACATAATAGATAGTCTGCAGCTTTTATCACACTGCAGTAAGATTAGTGGCTACTTTTTCAACTCTGGCTTACTATAGTAGCTATCAGCATTGTTACTCAAATTTAATTTGAACTTGTATAATTTCTGTATAAGCTACCTTAGTGAATTCTAACGTGATTCTCTTTGTTAGGGCAGAACTGAGGAATCAGAGAACCCAAGAGATGATGCTTCAAGGAAATTGCGTGAAAGAGACTGGAAAACATCTGTTGAAAACAATTGCACATGTCTATTTTGACTGAAACTTCATTCGTTGACTATGATTTATAATGTAACTTCTTGTGATTCTTGAGAACAAATACGAGGGAGCCAACATTTTTTAGTAGTACAAAGTCATGGCAATACAGTAGATGGCAGTCAATCAGGATATGTAAGTCTGTTTATGGCGTAAAGTGTAAACAAGGGTGGAATACATGTGTTTCTTTGATACGTGACTCTTCGGCCCGTGCTCTCATCTAGTATATAATAAGTGAAGGTTATGAGATACGACGAAGGGCATTTTTGTAATTTATGTTGCTTTCATTTGTAAACACGTGTTATTGTTTGTTTCTTGCGTCTCTCTGTCTCTCTGTGTTTATACTAAGGCTGCTCGGTGGGCCGGGCCTGAACCGGACCGGGCCCGCGGTCCTAACGGGCCTGGTGGGCCGGTC